AAAATTATAAAAATATTATCGTGTAATTTGTTTCGTTTATTTCGAAACTCTACAGAAATATTACATTCCTCAATTTTAACATCCATTACAGTATGTTGCATATTTAGAAAAACCTAATCCCAAAAGTGGTATTATGATCTTCCATTGTTCAGGACTGAATAATAAAAATATTTTACGGATAATCTGTTGCATATTTAGAAAAACCTAATCCCAAAAGTGGTATTATGATCTTCCATTGTTCAGGACTGAATAATAAAAATTATTTTACGGATAATCTGTTGCATATTTAGAAAAACCTAATCCCAAAAGTGGTATTATGATCTTCTATTGTTCAGAACTGATTAATAAAAATTATTTTACGGATAATCTGTCGTTTAGTTACTTCCGGTATGAATTGAAAACTACTTAGTCAAAGTGACTATATGATTTCAAAAAGGCAAGAAAACAAACGGCTCAGATTTTGAATCAATATAGTTAATGTCTTAGAAAGATATGCCTCCAAGATAACTCTTATTAAAGCTCATTTTTTTTATAGAGAACACGAAACCACAAACTTTATGCATTAAAGTTCTGTTTAAACCAACTTTTAATTAATAATTTTGATATATAATTGATGAGATCTGACGAGAAACAACAAAATCAACAGTGCGACACGTAATGACTAACACATTCAACCTCCACTATACTTGTGCACATTTGAGTCTAAATAATAGATGTTTATTTATAGACTAGAATTTTATACTTCACTGTTTTTACGACTAGTAGAATATATAGAATAAATAACTATTACACAACATTAAAGAAAAATATCCATTATCAAAGTTTGAATACAGTAATGCGTTTTTATAGACGGGCTTTAAACTAGTTTGATTATTAAAGGTTTTCAGTTCTCCACTATAGGAGTATTGGTATCCTATCACTTGCTCTTGAACAAGTCTGAACCTGTTATAGTACTATAAGAAGCAAAGTGACACCAACATCGGTCACACCCAGCCATCCAGCGAAGACATCTTATTACTTCCTGTAATAACGCTCACCCTTCACTGTAAACAAATCAAACTACCGTTGTGTTGCATGACCCAGTAGTTACCGTGCCGGAGAATTGTATATGTGAGTTTCCATGGATCGCATTGTAACTTGGAGCCGTGGGGCATTACAAGAATGACGATTAAGTCCAACTATTCTATTAGAGTAGCCCAAGAAATGGCTGTGAATTTTGTTGACTAACTGCCTTGTCTTTAGTGTATCGGTTCAAAAATAGAAACGGCTAACATAGAAAGTCAGACTGCTGCTCGTTCGGGTATGCGCGCAGGTTAGAGGTAATATTGCTCACCATAACAATCCCAACAATATTACTAAGTGGTAGCAAACAAACAATAGCTGCGTTCCAAGTACTGCACAAATGTGACAAAAACCATTAGGTTGAGTTAATTGATAATAATCGTAGTGGTTCTTGGTCTCTGCCCACACATCATCAATGTGTAAATGAGCCTGTAGTACGCAGCTGCTCACATACATTTCATATTATCCGATGCAAATAATGACGTTCATCTTGGATTTGTTCAATATAAAATCTGGTGAATTCCAGCAAAACAGTTGTTATTAGATATTTCTCATAACGTATTTAGTGATTTGAGGTTTCGTTTAATACATTGTAGTCATGTCTGGTTTATTATTGGTATTAAAAACAAACCATTATAAACTTTGTAACTTAATTAGAAATAAATTGAAGCGATTAATTGAAGGAGTTATATAAACCAATTACGTTAGTTGGCTCATAGCGAACTTGTTATAAATTGTGTAATTAAATAATATTATATTACCATTCTGTAACAAAAAAATTTACTTGATTGAAATTTTCCACCAGATAATTGTTTAAAATTAATTCGAGAGATGGCGCTAAGGGCACATCCACTTTACATAACATCGTTTAAAACGAAACTAAATTTACCCGTATTAACTCTATTTGTACTTAGAACCCAAAGAATACTGTAAGTGTAAAGTACTTTCATATCATCATCATATGTACATCGTTAACTGCATAGTAACAGATGGAGTTAGTAATAAGTTGGTTACTTGTAGCATTTTGTAACAACCAAGTTGTAATCTTTCCAACGTTATGATGATATGTTTAAATTGCCAAATTTATAAAATATCATAATAACCTTTTAAAAATTTTCAACGAAAACGTTGCAGGTTTATTGTTTTAGTGTGAAAATTATGAAGAAGAAATAAAGAAAACGGCAGAATAGAGAATATATTGTTGAGTAAGGCTCGTAGTTCTACTTAAGATCATATTATATAAAACCTTTTATTATTTTATTTATTTTGTAAAGGCGGAGATTGGGAATTGCATATAGTAGAAATATTAGGGCTGTTTCATTTCTCCTTTAAGAATTATAATAACTTTCAAGGGTAACTACCTTCCCACAACTGGCTGTAGATAATAGGAGTTGAGACGGTAAGAACTCAACTCCATACCCTTAACTAATTTTCCACGCTTCCTGGCTAGTTTAACATCAGCGTTTGGATTTTGTCTGGTAGATGGGATATCCCCAAAGCATTAGGGAGCTATTATCACAGACATTATCCGTGTCTTTAAGGTGACGACTGGGATTAACAATGGAGTTTACTAAAAATTTCTTAATGCTTATTTTATATTAAGTTCATAATTGTTTTACAGTGTCGATTTTAATCGCCTTTTAACATTAATGTAATTAATAGTATTGAAGCTATTTATTTCCTTATATATATATATATACATAGCCACGACTGTGTGTGTGTGTGTGTGATTTATGCTGGGATATGATGTGGTGATAGTAAATCCCGTTTTCTCGTGTTCAGTCAAGATAAACTCTTTGTACTTTGATGATATTAATTGCCTCTATGTAGCATTATAACGTTAATTCTGTATGCCAGTTAGTATTGGTATTAAAACGCCGTGGTTGTAGCTGATTTATGTAAACAAGCTGCATTATGTCAACAAAATAAGATAGAAGAGGTTGAACTTGGTAAGCTCTAAGGACACAGACTGCCCTTCTTAAGTCGTTCATTGTACACACGTCTAAACAATGTAAAATTGTGTTCTCTTATGTGAGAGTGTTAGGGGAAGAGGGTAATATAAGCTGAGTTTACGTATAGCTATACTTAAGTACGAAAAAGTATATACTTTTTTAAGTATAGTTAGTGTAGGTATGTGACGGTGTATGATGAATTTGACACATGGAATGTGGTCATTGATCGTTACAAGCAAGTTAGAGCACGTCATATCGATAACTCCAAGTTGTTTTTAACACCAGAAACTGATTCCGGCCTCATAAGCAGATTAGCAAAAATTCAAGAAAACAATACATAACTCGCACTGTTTCTGCACTAATCCGGAATGAGAGATTTGTCTTAGTAGGATGGAATATGTGTGTTTCTCAATCTAGTACCTTATTTATATGTCTACCGTTATATATCTTATTAATCTGTATGTCTATAGTTTTCTGCTTATTTCTCTAGCTATTTAACTGATTCAACGAAATTATACACCAGTTCAAACTCTATTTTCTACAGCCCTGAAATTCACGGGTAATTATTTTCAATCGTACGTTTCCAATTAGACCAGCGGCGAAGTCCTGTGGGTCGCGTGAGGCTCCTTAGGACAACATGCCCCCCCCCCGTGTCCTATATAAAAAAAAGAAAAAATAACATCACAACAGCACGGGTGGATTACAAGACCTAATGCTGTATGTAAGTGACAACAGTACGTTAAAATCAAAGTGCATTAATGCCAGGAAATTCAAACATAAGCCTACTTTTCCCCGAAAGGGGGCCGAAAGCCGCCTGGAGGGGTCACCTCTTTTAACAACTTCCATCACTTTACAGTAGTGTTTTCTCTGTTACTCAGTCAGTCAGTAGACATTAAACTGACATCACATAAGTGAACATAATGTTGCAATTTGTAAAATTGTAATCAGTAAAACGTGCGCATGCCATGAATAACGAGAAGAATTCTGCACTCTGTAGGCTACAAGACAGAATGAAATATGAACTTAAAAAGCAAGAAAATAAAAATAT